GAGAGACTGAGGCATGAGAATCCCTTGAATCCAAGAGGTGGTGACTGCAGGGAGCTGAGACTGTGCCACTGCACTCCAGCCTGGGTGACAGAGTAAGACTCTCTCAAAAAAAAAAAAAAAGAAAGAAATGTCTTACTGGACAGCTTCAGGCGGGAATCTGTTTGCATTTGTACCATCTGGTGTTTCCAGCCTGAGAAGAGTCAGTGACAGGAACGAACCGTGGGTGCCTCTGTGGGGGTGGCTCCCAGCGGCTCCCGCCTGGTTGCCCTTGAGTTGGCTAAGGAGCTGAGAACTTGGACTTCAGGATTCTCTGACTTCACTGGTCTGACATGGAGCTCCCAGTGTTTGAATAAGAAGTGGCTGGGTGTGGTGGCTCACGCCTGTAATCCCAGCACTTTGGGAGGCTGAGGCAGGTGGATCACTTGAGGTCACAAGTTCAAGACCAGCCTGGCAACATGGCGAAACCCCGTGTCTACTAAAAGTACAAAAATTAGCCAGGCGTGGTGGCAGGCGTCTGTAATCCCAGCTACTCGGGAGGCTGAGGCAGGAGAATCGCTTGAACCTGGGAGGTAGGTGCAGTGAGCCAAGATTGTGCCACTGCACTCCAGCCTGGGCAACAGATCAAGATTCCGTCTCAAAAAACAAAAGAAAAAAATGGCAGCCAGCCTCAGCCATTTACGCAGGGACAGGTGTTTATGTGGGAGGAAGATTAGATATTAGATATCGCCTCCTCCTGTGGCCTTGGAGCTATGGGGACAGGGACGCTGGGGGTGAGGACAGTTCATGGTAGTAAAGTCCTATGAGAGTGGGAGGGGAGTGGAGGCCCCAGGACCATGTGGGTGCAACAGCAGGGACGGGACAGTCACCCAGACTGAGCCGGGGCAGGGCTGTGGGAGCACAGGTCAGTGTGACGTTGGCTGGGGCTCAGCATTCGTGACCCAGGGCTGGGCAGTTCCACTCCTGCACGTAGACACAGACAAGGATGCTCCTAGTAGCCCTACCCAAGTGCTTCTTGCCAGAATGGGCCCATTTGTCCAGTGGGCTGCTGTGCAGTGATTGGACACAGAACCTCATCCTGGCGCAGCTGTGCGGCGATCGGACGCAGAGCCTCGTCCTGGCTGCACGGAGAGGCCTTTGTTTGCAGTCGGCTTCTTGGTTAAGCTCTTTTAATTTTTTTAAACTCTTTTTTAAATTAGAGGCAGGGTCTTGCTGTGTTGCCCAGCCTGGAGTTCAGTGGCACAATCACTGCAGCCTTGACCTCTCCTGCTCAAATAGTCCTCCCACCCCAGCCTCCTAAGCAGTTAGGACTACAGGCACCACCGTGCCTGGCTACATTAAAAAAATTCTTTTTTTTTTTTGAGATGGAATTTTGCTCTTGTTGCCCAGGCTGGAGTGCAATGGCGTGATCTCGGCTCACCGCAAACCTCTGCCTCCCGAGTTCAAGTGATTCTCCTGCCACAGCCTCCCGAGTAGCTGGGATTACAGGCACCTGCCACCATGCCCGGCTAATTTTGTATTTTTAGTAGAAACGGGGTTTCTCCACGTTGGTCAAGGTGGTCTTGAACTCCTGACCTCGTGATCCACCCGCTGCAGCCTCCCAAAGTGCTGGGATTACACTCGTGAGCGGCTGTACCCAGCATTTTTTTTTTTGGAGATGGAGTGTCGCTCTGTCACCCAGGCTGGAGTACAATGGTGCAATCTCGGCTCACTGCAAGCTCCACCTCCCAGGTTCAAGCGATTCTCCTGTCCCAGCCTCCCAAGTAGCTGGGATTACAGGCGCCAGCCACCAGGCCCGGCTAATTTTTTTTGTATTTTTAGTAGAGACGGGGTTTTGCTGTATTGGCCAGGCTGGTCACGAACTCCTGAGCTCAGGCGATCCGCCCGCCTTGGCTGCCCAAAGTGCTGGGATTCCAGGTGTGAGCCACCGCTCCTGGTCCAGAACCTTAAGTTCTTGATGTACAGAGAACCGCAGCATCATCGAAGTGTGATTTCTGTTTTTTTGTCTCCACTAATTGTGAGCAAACATTAGGGTGGGGACTGGGCTGCTTGTGCGGGTCCCACGGGCTTCTTGGGAGCCCAGTGTCAGCAGAGAAGGGGAACGGGGGCCCTCGCTGTGGGGAGCAGTTTTGCCTGGAGTGCTGTGCGTTTCTCAGATGGAAACTAAGTGGACAGACTGTTCTGGCGAGAGAGAGAGGCGCAGCCGCGTGTGGGCTGGGAAGTGCTTGCCTTTGGAATTCCAGGTTTGCCTCGATGTCAGGTGGGCCATGACTGGCATCGTCTGCCCACGCCTGGAGCCCGGCGTCCTGTTCGTTGTTCCTGGGGGTGGGTTCTTGAGCGTTGCCTCCTTGCCATGTAAATGAATTTGGTTTTAGAAACTCGCTGGTGGTGGCAGAGTCTGCGTAGCAGGTGCTGTGACAGCGTCCCCAGTCGAGGTGGGAGGGAGAGGGCAAGGGCCGTGAGGCCCAGTGACGTGGGGAGTGAGATCCCAGCCTGCTGTGCAGAGCCCTGTCCCTGTGCTCTGTCCTTTTGTTCTGCCGCACCCTTTGTTCTTGGATTTTCACCTTAGGAAAGCCAGGTAGCTGCTCCACCCCCAGCCAGGGCCCATCAGTCCGGGAAAAGGGCACAAAGTCTCCTAGCTCCCTGGCTCAGGGCCCAGCCAGTCCTAGCTCCAGGGAGGCTGCAGCCCACGGAGATTTAGCTCCCAGCTCATTGTCACCCCAAGCTAAGCCGTGGACCATGCTGCTGAACAGGAAGAAGGGAATGGTGTCTCTGTGGAGATCTGGCACTGTCAGTGGCCTGAGGAGTGGACGCAGTCGCCTTTTGTTATTCTGAGGCTATGGGAACTGGTGGAGGGGCTGACCTCGTCCCCACTGAGGCCTGGGGTGCCCTTGGAGGCAGCTGTCCTGGTGCACCGAGGGGTCAGGGCACACGTGGGTGGCCTGGGAGCGTCCGGGTGGCACTGAGCTAGCGGTGTGATGGGCAGATGGGGAGCCCTGGGTGCACAGACACACAGAGCAGGGGGAGGAGAGGGGAGAGGGGACGGTGGCAGAGGCCACGACACACAGAGCAGGGGGAGGGGAGGAGAGAGGGGACGGCGGCAGAGGCCCTGGCGTTGCCCCCACTGGGGAGAGGGCAGGACCACCTGTTCCCGGGTGTGGAGAGGCCGAGTTTCAGGCACCTCTGAGCACTGCTGGGCAGGTGAGCTGGGGGAAAGGCCGGCCTGAGCACCTGGGGGAAGTCTCGGTGGGGGAGGGGCAGAGTGCGTCCCTCAGCGTGAACACAGAATATATATACAGACAGCACGCATGCAAGTGCATAAACATAAACCTAGAAGGAGGTCATGGGTGAGCTGGGAACCCCAGTTTCCCGGGGGAGAAGTGAGAGGAGGAGGGGTCCTGGGTCGGGCAGCGCGGCCGGCACCACACGCTCCCAGAGCGCCACGTTGGTGAGACAGGGTGGGTGCCCCTTCAGATGCACAGTCAGCCCCCGAAGTAGGAAGAGGCCCAGGTGTGAGAAACAGGAAATCAGGGCTGCCTGAGCGCTGGGGTTGAGACCTGGGGGAGGTGGGGTCTCGGTGCTGCGGAGTCACGGTGGCACCTGCGCAAAGCCCGAGCTGGGGGGATGATTCCCACCGGCCCTTGGAAGGAAACAGGCTGTTCTGACCTTCCTGGAGGTTGTGGGAAGGGAGGGGGTGTCTCGCCTGAAAAGCCACAGTCACCTGAGTGTGAGGCGGGGGTAAGTGTGGCTTTGTACCACGGGGTCTGTCTAGAGAGTAGCATGGAATTAGTCCTGGGGCACCTGGCAGCGGCAGCCACAAAGCCCATCAAGAAGGTGCAGCTGCCAGCCAGGGCGTGAAGGACCCACAGCCCCAGGTCTGCCAGGAAGGTCAAGTGTGCCTGGAGACTGTCTCCCAAGAGCAAGGATCTGCCAACACGTGCAGAGAAAAATGGGATTCAATTGCTAAAACTCTCTGGACAGTGAATGATTGTATTTTCTTTTTTTTTTCTTAAGACAGTCTCACCCTGTTGCTGAGGCTGGTGTGCAGTGGCACCGTGTCGACTCACTGCAACCTCTGTCTCCTGGGTTCAAGCAGTTCTCCTGCCTCAGCCTCCCGAGTAGCTGGGATTACAGGTGCCCGCCACCACGCCCGGCTAATTTTTTTTTTTTTTTTTTTGAGACGGAGCCTCGCTCTGTCGCCCAGGATAGAGTGCAGTGGCCGGATCTCAGCTCACTGCAAGCTTCGCCTCCCGGGTTTACGCCATTCTCCTGCCTCAGCCTCCCGAGTAGCTGTGACTACAGGCACCCGCCACCTCGCCCGGCTAGTCTTTTGTATTTTTTAGTAGAGACGGGGTTTCACTGTGTTAGCCAGGATGGTCTCGATCTCCTGACCTCGTGATCCACCCGTCTCGGCCTCCCAAAGTACTGGGATTACAGGCTTGAGCCACCGCGCCCGGCCTTTTTTTCTTTTTTTGAGATGGAGTCTTGCTCTTGTCACCCGAGCTGGAGTATAATGGTGCGATCTCGGCTCACCGAAACCTCCACCTCCTGGGTCCAAGCTATTCTCCTGCCTCAGCCTCCCAAGTAGCTGGGACTACAGGCACCCGCCACCATGCCCGGCTAATTTCTTTTTGTATTTTTAGTAGAGACAGGGTTTCACTGTGTTAGCCAGGATGGCTATGATCTCCTGACCTTGTGATCCGCCCGCCTCGGCCTCCCAAAGTGCTGGGATTACAGGGGTGAGCCACCACACCCGGCCCCGCCTGGCTAGTTTTTATATTTTTAGTAGAGACGGGGTTTCACTGTGTTGGCCAGGCTGGTCTCGAACTCCTGACCTCAGGTGATCCACCTGCCTCGGCCTCCCAAAGTGCTGGGATTACAGGTGTGAGCCACCGTGCCTGGTCCAATTGCATTTTCAGAGTAATTTTAAATTGGTGGTTGAAACCTTTGAGGACATTGAATGTTCAAAACGGGTAATATGTTTCCCTTTCTTACCGTTTTAGCGTCTGCTTCTGTGCTTTGCCAGGGAGAGGCCCTGGTGGCCTCGTTCCTGGCGCCCGGAGTCCCTGCTGTGGCTGCACCCCCAGGCGGTCCCGGTGACCCATGCTGCCCAGCCTGGAGGTAAAATCATTCCTGGCGGTGGCTTCAGCATGTCGTCCTCGGTGAAAACCCCAGCGCTGGAAGAGCTCGCTCCTGGCTCTGAGGAGAAGCCTAAAGGCAAGTCGCCTCTCAGCTGGGGCTCTCTCTTTGGTCACCGAAGTGAGAAGATTGTTTTTGCCAAGAGCGACAGCGGCGTGGATGAGAACGTACTGACTGTCACCATCACGGAGACCACGGTCATCGAGTCAGACTTGGGTGTGTGGAGCTCACGGGCACTGCTCTACCTCACGCTGTGGTTCTTCTTCAGCTTCTGCACACTCTTCCTCAACAAGTACATCCTGTCCCTGCTGGGAGGCGAGCCCAGCATGCTAGGTAGGCGGCGGCTCGCGCATGGTGGAAACCAGCTGCCCGGGAGGGTGTGCGGAGCCTGGGTCAGGATGGGGACCCGGGTCAGGATGGGAGCCCGGGTCAGGATGGGAACCCGGGTCAGGATGGGAGCCCGGGTCGGGATGGGAACCCGGGTCAGGATGGGAGCCCGGGTCGGGATGGGAACCCGGGTCAGGATGGGGACCCGGGTCAGGATGGGAACCCGGGTCAGGAGGGGAGCCCGGGTCAGGATGGGGACCCGGGTCGGGATGGGAACCCGGGTCAGGAGGGGAGCCCGGGTCGGGATGGGAACCCGGGGTGGAGCCCGCTGCAGGTGCGGGGGTCAGGATGGGAACCTGGGTCAGGATGGGAACCCGGGTCAGGATGGGAACCCGGGTCAGGATGGGAGCCCGGGTCAGGATGGGAACCCGGGGTGGAGCCCGCTGCAGGTGCGGGAGGGGTGATTCTCCCTCTTGGCTTTGGCCCCCTCCCTCCCGCAGGCGCGGTGCAGATGCTGTCCACCACGGTTATCGGGTGTGTGAAAACCCTCGTTCCTTGCTGTTTATATCAGCACAAGGCCCGGCTTTCCTACCCACCCAACTTCCTTATGACGATGCTGTTTGTGGGTCTGATGAGGTAAAGAATCTCACACTTTGGTTGAGTGTCTCTTTTTCTTTAAATGTAAAGTCCTTGTCTTGTTACTAGAGAGGGGACTCTGCTGGCTGGTGAGTTTTCAGTGCAGAGTTTATAAAAGCGTCAGGGCCGTCCAGATTTCAGGACACCAGGTGAATGTGAATTCGTGGCTCTCACTGCCTCTTGCGCAGTCAGCTTCTTTCCAGGCTGGTGGTCGCAGGACAAGGTGCCTCCTTGTCTCTGGGGCATTTTCAAGGGGTGGCGGATGTCACTTCACGTTGGGCGCAGTGCCATTTCCTGGGGGCTCGACCTAAAGCGTCACAGAAGCGGGTCCAGGCACCACGTTGGTGATGAGGAGGTGGGGAGAGGGGCCGACGTGCCCATTGACCGAGCAGGCCCCTTGGAGAGAGAACCTGCCCCGTGGCTGCAGGTAGACACACTTGTTCTAAGGTAATGGTGCTTTTGCTAATTTTTAGGTTTGCAACTGTGGTTTTGGGTTTGGTCAGCCTGAAAAATGTGGCAGTTTCGTTTGCTGAGACGGTGAAGAGCTCCGCCCCCATCTTCACAGTGATCATGTCTCGGATGATTCTAGGGGAGTACACAGGTGAGGCTCCTGGGCCCCACCATCCCAGGCCTCCATCCGCGGTGCCCGTCTTTGCCACCTCCCATGGGGCTCTGCCGAGAGGACCACTCAGAGCGGGGCCCACACTGGTAGTGCCTTCACTTCTCTCCTGAAACATTTTCCCCATGGTCACATGTGTGGGGGTGTCTTGGAGCCTGGTGTCTGCCAGGTCTTCTCACACTGGCATGCGGAGGTCAGGGCAGGGTTGTACCTCATGGCCCTAACTGGGTGGGGAGACAGTTGGGGACTGGGCAGATTCCTGGCAAGCAAGGTTACTGCAGGTGCCAATCACTGACCCGAAGAGGTTGGGCGGGGGCCGCCTTCGGCCAGCATCACGCAGATGGCTGTGGCTCCTGGTGTATGGGCCAGCCTGTGCCAGCACCCCACAGCCTCCCCAGCACCCGCCACCACAGGCCTGTCCTGGGCCCCAGCCCCTGACCTCAACTGCAACCCAGGCTCTTGCCTCTCCCACCTCTTAATGACTCACAGGCGATTTCCAGCGACATGTAGGCTCCATGTCGCATACCCAGTGTGGCTGCATGAAAACAAGCGAGGGACAGAGGCACCCACAGAGCGTGGCGTCTTGCACGGAGTGGGGGGTGGGGGGTATGTACACACGTGTTCGCCTGTTTAAGAAACGACAAGATCTTAAGGCCAAGGCAAATGTCTGTCTGCTTTTGGGGACAGGAGGAGGCCGAGGGTCCAAGGCGGGGTTGGGCTTGCCCCACGTGCACGTGAGACCTGCACACACATTTAGGTGATTATAACAAAATCAAAGCTTAAAAGTCAACTGCTTCTTTGTTTTTGTTTTTTTGTTGTTGTTTTTTTGAGGCAGGGTCTTGCTCTGTCGCCAAGCTGGAGTGCAGTGATGAGATCACGACTCACTGCAACCTCTGCCTCCCGCTTAGGTGATCCTCCCACCTCAGCCTGTTGGGTAGCTGGGACCTCAGACATGTGCCACCATGCCCGGCTACGTTCTGTATTTTGTGTGTGTGTGTGTGTATGTGTGTGTGTGTGTGTGTGTTTTAAACTGTGAATGTACGTTAGTCATTTTTCTTACAATTGAAACTTGAAACTCTGGGGATTCAGAATTAACAGCCTTGCCTGTGAGCTTCTTATCGACACCAGAAAAAGTTCCGACCTTGCGTTTCACATTGTTCTGCTGGGCTTTGTCCGAATGAACCCGTGTGAGCTGCTGCTGTCATTTTCATGAGGATTCTTCTGTCCACAATTTCACCTGGGAAGACCAAGTCCTCAAGGATTGTGACGTACGCGACTGTCAGACTGTGGATCCTGGGACACTTTTGCTTATTTTTTGTACACCTTTTTTGAGTTGGTTTAGACAGAATTCTCCTCTAAGCCATAGACAGCATACTTCCCAGTGAACTTTTTCTTCAATTCATGTACTAGCCAGACTTGGATTTTCTGGAATGATTTCAGTGGCAGAGCAGGAACAAAAACTATAACTTCCTTTTTTCCTTTTTTTCTTCTTTTTTTCTTTTTTTTTTGAGACAGAGTCTCGCTCTGTCGCCCAGGCTGGAGTGTAGTGGCACGATCTTGACTCACTACAAGCTCCGCCTCCCAGGTTCTCGCCATTCTCCTGCCTCAGCTTCCTGAGTACCTGGGACTTACAGGTGCCCGCCACCACGCCTGGCTAATTTTTTGTATTTTTAGTAGAGATGGGGTTTCACTGTGTTAGCCAGGATGGTCTCCATCTCCTGACCTTGTGATCCACCCACCTCGGCCTCCCAAAGTGCTGGGATTACAGGTGTTAGCTACTGTGCCCGGCCCTTTTTTTTTTCTTTTTTTGAGATGGAGGCTTCCTCTGTCGTCCAGGCTGGAGTGCAGTGGCGCGATCTCGGCTCACTGCACCCTCCGCCTCCTGGGTTCAAGCGATTCTCCTGCTTCAGCCTCCCGTGTAGCTGGGATTCAGGAGACTGCCACCACACCCAGCTAATTTTTGCATATTTAATAGAGATGGGGTTTCACCATGTTGCCCACGCTGGTCTCGAACTCCTGCCCTCGTGATCTGATCTCCCACAGTGCTGGGGTTCCAGGCATCAGCCGCTGCGCCTGGCCTGTGATAACTTTCTGACCACCAGCCACCTCCGTTTCCCTCGCTGCCGTGGTGATCAGCTCCCTGAGCTGAGCCCTGACGTCCGAGTTCATCTCCAGCTCCCGAAGAACTGAGAAGCCAAGAACAGCGGGGCCAACCCTCAGCGCATGTCTGAGCACCCCTGGCCTCATATGTGTGTGTTTTATAGAGATGGGGTCTCGCTATGTTGCCCAAGCTGGTCTTGAACTCCTTGCCTCACATGATCCTCCTGCCTCAGCCTCCTTAAAGTGCTGGGATTATAGGCATCAGCCGCCGTGTCCGACTTTAAAAAGCAATCCTGAAAATCATCAACAAAATGACACAGAGCAACCTTGTTGCCCATCAAGCCATGCAGAAAGGAGCTGTTTATTTCCAGCAAGTTTAAAACGTCGATTTGACCTCCAGCCATGGTAGATGAGATATTAGAAAACCAACTCTCTTGCTGACAACAGTGAGAAAATCTTGATACCATTTAGCAAAAAGAAGTCTGTGGGGGAGGCGTTGGAGAGTGATGGAGGTGCCAGGGCCTGAGGCACCCAGCTTCCGGAGCCTCGGGCAGCCCAGAGAAGTGACCCTGTCTTAAGGCACTACCCTCCCCAGTGCATTTGCTAATGGTTTCTGAGCAGAGCAGTCTCCTGGGGCTGAAGGGGCACAAGCTGGAACGGGCGTGCCACCTTGGGGACCCCCAGACTCCAGACCTTCAGCTGGGATGGGAATCTGGTGCTGGATAAAGGCGTCTGACGCCCCAGCGGCATGTCACCAGCAGCAGCACGTCCTCCTGGAAGGGTGAAACGGCGTTCAGTCTCCAGTTTTCTCTACACATTTCATAAATGTTGTCTGGGATTCAACCAGTTTCCAGCAGAGGACGAGACCAGGTGATGGCAAATGAGAGGATGCCCCTGTGGCTGGAGCCTGCCAGCACGGACTCGGGTCCCTCTGTTACGCCAGGGTCTCGGCCAGGCCGCATCTGCGGGTTTCCCACATTAACTTGACTCAGGGTTCTTTTTCTTCTTTTGAGACAAGGTCTCACTCTGTCGCCCAGGCTGGAGTGCGGTGGTGTGATCACAGCTCACTGCAGCCTCGGCCTCCCCAGCGCAGGTGATCCTCCCACCACAGCCTCCCCAGTAGCTGGGACCACAGGTGTGTGCCACCACACCCAGCTAATTTTTGTATTGTTTGTAGAGGTGGGGTCTCCTTGTTGCTCAGCCCTGGGCTCAAGTGATCCTCCTGCCTCGGCTTCCCAAAGTGCTAGGATTACAGGTGTGAGCCATGTTCCGTGGATTTTTTAAAAAATCCTTCACGTAAAAGTGTTTTGTTATGTTTCAAAAGGAACAGAAAAGCATCAACTCAATGTGGGTGTGCCCCTCCTGGTCCCCAGAGTCTCTTTCTCTGCAGTTCCCGGGGGACCATCTTCACACTCACCATTTCACATGAGCATCACAGAACCAGGAAGGTTTCTGGGGCTCGCCCGCGCGTGGCCGGGGCTCAGCCTCTGGGAGACGCAGCTCATGCAGAGTGGAAGGCACCACCTTTGCCGTGGGGACAGGACTTGTTCGCAGACGTGGACTTTGATTTGCTTTATCTTACAATGTGAAGGAACTGACAAGTATTGTTTTTGAATTGAAGGAAGCGTCCGTTCCTTTTATAAGAGGGAACGGAAACAGCCTGGGCCTCGGGAGGGAGCTTCCACCCGGCGGGTCAGCCACTCACAGGGCTGTCCTCTCGCCAGGGCTGCTGGTCAACCTCTCCCTCATCCCAGTCATGGGCGGGCTGGCGCTGTGCACGGCCACTGAGATCAGCTTCAACCTCCTGGGGTTCTCGGCCGCACTGTCCACCAACATCATGGACTGGTGAGTCACAGAGAAGGTGGGTGTGAGGGGGACAAGACCCGGTGCTCCCTTGCCTGCATCTGGGTGTGCAGATTCTCAGGTGAGCTGAGAATTCCTCCCGTAATCCAAAGCAGGTGCGTCCTATGCTGCGCTTTCCTAAAGAGCAAAGCAGGCCGGGCGCGGTGGCTCACGCCTGTAATCCCAGCACTTTGGGAGGCCGAGGTGGGCGGATCATGAGGTCAGGAGATCGAGACCATCCTGGCGAACACGGTGAAACCCCGTCCCTACTAAAAATACAAAAATTAGCCGGGCGAGGTGGCGGCACCTGTAGTCCCAGCTACTCGGGAGGCTGAGGCAGGAGAATGGTGTGAACCCAGGAGGCGGAACTTGCAGTGAGCCCAGATCGCGCCACTGCACTCCAGCCTGGGCGACAGAGCGAGACTCCATCTCAAAAAAGGGAAAAAAAAAAGAGCAAAACAGCAGTTATCCTCGTAAGGTAACTTTCTCAAAAACAAGCCAAAATTTCAGGATGGACAGTCTTGATACTTAAAATACTAACCATGGAGACACAGTTAGTTGATAAATGCTGAAATGCACGGCATACGTTCAGCAGCGTCTCGCTCAGGGTGTCTTCATGCGGCTGCCAGAGCAGGGACAGTCCCGCAGCGGCAGGTTCTACCTGTACGGGAGCTGCGCCACCTCCAGGCCGGGCGGATCCTCTGCTTCCTTGGTGGCCATCGGTGTCCTGGTGTCACGATGGCAGAAAGGATGAGAGGCCGACGCCCACAGTGAGGACGGCACGTGGCGGGGTCCAAGAGGAAAGGGCCCTGTTATTCATGCCTTTGTCACTCAGTAGAGAGGAGCGGTGGACGCTGCACTTCGGGGCCTGTTCAGATTCACCCAGAATTGGGCGTCCACATCCCTGCTGTGCTGTTAATGGCCACACTCCAGCCCTGGCAAAACTTCCCCTTTGAGAATGACTGGCTTCTAGGCTTTTCCTGCTTTTGAGGAAAGAAAGGAAAAGACACCACCACCGGTGTCTAAGAGTTTATCATTATTACTAATAAGCAAAACAGGTTCATGGTGAGATTTTGAATAATACAGAAGTAAAAATAAAAATCTGTTGGGCACGGTGGCTCACGCCTGTAATCCCAGCAGTTTGGGAGGCTGAGGCGGGCAGATCACAAGGTCAGGAGATCAAGACCACCCTGGCTAACACGGTGAAACCCCGTCTCTACTAAAAATACAAAATATTAGCCGGACGTGATGGCAGGTGCCTGTAGTCCCAGCTACTCGGGAGGCTGAGGCAGGAGAATGGCGTGAACCCGGGAAGCGGAGCTTGTAGTGAGCTGAGATCTCGCCACCCCACTCCACCCTGGGTAACAGAGCAAGACTCTGTCTCAAAAAACAAAATCTGTTGGGCGTGGTGGCTCACACCTGTAATCCCAGCACTTTGAGAGGCTGGGGTCGGTGGATCACTTGAGGTCCACCAAGTTGGAGTTGGAGACCAGCCTGGCCAACATAGTGAAACCCCATCTCTACTAAAAATACAAAAATTAGCCAGGCGTGATGGTGGCACCACTGAGGTCTGGTCATTGTCGCCGTCGCTGCGTGTGAGCGCAGACACCTTGTCCCCTGATGTTTGGTGCTGAGGGCTAGTATTGATGCATCACCTCTTTTCTTTATTCTAGTTTGCAAAATGTTTTTTCGAAAAAGCTTCTCAGCGGGGACAAATACAGGTTCTCGTAAGTATTACTCGTCAGTGAAATCTCCAGGTCATAAGACGAAGAGGACTTCCTGCCCACTTTAAGAGTCAGAACACCCCACAGACCTGACTCCCTTCCTGTCTAGCTTGGGTGGTCTTTACAAGTACCTTGTCTAAGGTCGGGAGGGACCTGCCTGTTTCTCAGCCGCTCCCTTGAGCCCCTCAGCCAGCCTGGCGTGCGTTTGCGTTTTCATTTCTGGGAAGCTGCAGCGGCCCTCGTCCTGCCTAGAGAAAATGAATGTCTTGTGGGCTGGGGTGCTGGGTATTCTTGCTGTGAGGAGCTGCGTGTGGACCCAGCCTCTCCTGACACGGCGGGGGCCCAGCATGTTCTGTTGCCCACAGGGCCCCGGAGTTGCAGTTCTACACCAGTGCCGCCGCGGTGGCCATGCTCGTCCCGGCCCGGGTCTTCTTCACGGTGGGTTTCAGACACAGGTGTCCCGTCGTTACTCACCCGGCTGCCTTATCTGGTGGTTCAGGGGCAGAATGACTTCCCTTTCCAGGCCGTGTGCTGGCTGGTCGTGCCCAGCTCCGCCACGGCCCTGCTTAGCTGAGTTGCTCTGGGAGCCACTCGGGGTTTGCGCTCAGATTTTTGTGTGAAGACTTTTATTTTGTTTATTGTTTGTTTTGTTTTGATTCTTCATCATTCAACTTGGGGGGCTTTTAGGCTAGCTTAATTTCTTTTTTTATCACAAAAACTTTTTTTTTTTCCGAGAAGGAGTCTTGCTCTATATCCCAGGCTGGAGTGCAGTGGCGTGATCTCTGCTCACTGCAAAGTCCGCCTCCTGGGTTCATGCCATTCTCCTGCCTCAGCCTCCCAAGTAGCTGGGACTACAGTTGCATGCCACCATGCCAGGCAATTTTTTTTTTTTTTTTTTTTGAGATGAAGTCTCTCGTTGCCCAGGCTGGAGTGCAGTGGCACAATCTGGGTTCACTGAAACCTCTGCCTCCGGGTTCAAGCGATTCTCCTGCCTCAGCCTCCTGAGTAGCTGGGATTACAGGCGTGCACCACAGCCTGGCTAATTTTTGTATATTTAGTAGAGAGGGAGTTTCACCGTGTTGACCAGGCTGGTCTCCAACTCTTGATCTTAAATAATCCACCCGCCTCGGCCTCCCAAAGTCCTGGACAGGCATGAGCCACTGCATCTGGCCAAAAAACCTTTTTTTTTTTTTTTTTAGACAGAGTCTCGCTCTGTCACCCAGGCTGGAGTGCAGTGGCGCGATCTCGGCTCACTGCGAGCTCCGCCTCCCAAGTTCACACCATTCTGCCTCAGCCTCCTGAGTAGCTGGGACTACAGGCGCCCGCCACAACACCCGGCTAATTTTTTTGTATTTTTAGTAGAGATGGGGTTTCATGGTGTTAGCCAGGATGGTCTCGATGATCTGAGCTCGTGATCCACCCGCCTCAGCCTCCCAAAGTGCTGGGATTACAGGCGTGAGCCACCGTGCCCATCCCATGATAACTATTTTTAAGTGTAAAGCTGAGTGGCCATCACCATCACCCATCTCCAGAACTCTTCGTTTTGCAAAACTGAACCTTTGCCCTCATTCAGTACTCCCCGTTCTCATCCCCCAACTCTGGCACCCCCGTTCCACTTTCTGTCTCTGAATTTGGTGACCCTAAAGACCTCATACAAGTGGACTCATATCACATTTGTCCTTCTGTGTCTGGCTTATCTCACGTAGCATGGTGTTTTGGTATTTTGAGGTTTACATGTGGTGTTGCATGAATCAGTTTCTTCCCTTTGTATTTTTTGAGACTGGGTCTTGCTGTGTCACCCAGGCTGCAAAGCACTGCAGTTTCATAGCTCACTGCAGCCACGGCCTCCCAGGCTCAAGCGATTCTCCTGCCTCAGCCTCCCAAACAGCTGGGATGGCAGGCATGTGCCACACCTGCCTCATTTATTTATTTATTTATTTATTTTTATTTTTTGAAATGGAGTCTTGCCCTGTCACCCAGGCTGGAGTGCAGTGGGGCGATCTTGGCTCACTACAGCCTCCACCTCCCGGATTCAAGTGATTCTCCTGCCTCAGCCTCCCAAGTAGTTGGGATTACAGGCATGCGCCACCACTCTGGCTAATTTTTGTATTTTTAGTACAGATGGGGTTTCACCATGTTGCCCGTGTTGCAGTGGCACAATCTGTGCTCACTGCAGGCTGGTCTTGAACTCCTGACCTCAAGTTGTCTGCCCACCTCGGCCTCACAAAGCGCTGGGATTATAGGTGTGAGTCACCGTGTGCAGCCAGTTTTTTATTTTCTGTATTAACAGGGTCCTACTGCATTGCCCAGGCTGGTCTCAGACTCCTGGGCTCAAACCTCGGCTTCTCAAAGGCGGCTCCCACCTTGGATGACAGGCGTGAGCCACTGTGCTCAGCCTTTTTTTTTTTTTTTTTTTTTTTTTTTAATTTTTTTATGAGACGGTGTCTCGCTGTGTCACCCCAGCCAGGCTGGAGTGCAGTGGCACAATCTCGGCTCACTGCAAGCTCCTCCTCCCGAGTTCACACCGTTCTCCTGCCTCAGCCTCCTGAGTAGCTGGGACTACAGGCGTCCGCCACCACACCTGGCTAACTTTTTGTGTTTTTAGTAGAGATGGGGTTTCACCATGTTAGCCAGGATGGTCTCGATCTCCTGACCTTGTGGTCTGCCCGCATCGGCCTCCCAAAGTACTGGAATTACAGGCGTGAGCCACCGCGTCCGGCCCCTTTTTTCTTTTTTAAGGTTGAATAGTACTCCATTGTGTGAGTAAGACCACATTCTGTTTATTCATCCATCCATTGTGTGTTCTTTCTGCCTTTGGCTGTTGCACATAATTCTGTAGTGAATGTGGGGATGCAAATATCCCTTAGAGACCCTGCTTTCAATTCTGTGTTTTAGTATCATTTTTAATAATAGGTACCTCTTTATTAACTCATTAAATAACCAGATCTAGCAGTAAGCCTAGTATCTATGGTAGTTTGATGTAGTGATGAGGGTAAACAGTATTTCAGGGTATCAGCAACAACTGCTAACAGGATATGAAAGTATCTGTAGTTTTGTTTTTTGTTTTTTGTTGTTGTTTTTTTTCGAGACAGAGTTTCACTCTTTATTACCCAGGCTGGAGTGCAGTGGCGCAATCTCAGCTCACTGCAAACCTCCACCTCCCAGGTTCAAGCGATTCTCCTGCCTCAGACTCCTGAGTAGCTGGGATTATAGCCATGCACCACCACACCCGGCTAATTTTTGTATTTTTAGTAGAGATGGGGTTTCACCATGTTGGTCAGGCTGGTCTCAAACTCCTGACTTCAGGGATCCACCTGACTCGGCCTCCCAAAGTGCTGGCATCACAGGCGTGAGCCACCGCGCCTGGCCTATCTGTAGTATTATAGTTTATTCCCAACATTCATAATTGAATGAAATGCTGAGTTTCAAGTAAAGGTTAGTAAAGATAAAGATGCAGTTTTTTCCCAGTTGAGTTCATGGACCTTCTAAATGCAATTTGTAGACTTCCCTAGAGTCCTCCACACAGAGGGTTCTCTGTGTGAGGTGCAGTTTCAAGTTCTTATCTTATTGTAGTTTTCTGGATTTTAATCCATTAGCTTTCAAGGCTGGCTGACTTGGCCATTCTCCCTGCGAGGAAGTTGTGGTTGCCGGCCGGGGCCATCAGTTCTTGTGGGTGTGTACCCAGCAGTGGAACTGCTGGATTATATAATAATTCTGTGTTTAATTTTTTTTTTTTTTTTCTGGAGATGGAATCTCACTCTGTTGCCCAGGCTGGGGTGCAGTGGTGCAATCTCATCTCACTGCAGCCTCCGCCTCCCTCCTGAGTAGCTGGGATTACAGGCGCACACCACCACACCTGGCTAATTTTTAGATTTTTAGTAGAGACGGGGTTTCACTGTGTTGGCCAGACTGGCCATGCCCGGCCCTTCCTTGGGGTTTCTGTTGCATTTTCCTGCTGATGGTGATGTTCGGCTGCTTTCATGTGCTTGTGGTCTGTTTGCATCTGCATGGTGAAAACTAATTAGTGCAAAAAATAATGGAAAAAAAAACAGAAAATGGATGAGTGCACAGTTCAGCTCTCCGCCCTAGAGGCATTTTCATAGCTGTCCTCAGTGTCAGCAGCTTTACCCAGTGTCTGGGCAGGAGTGGCACTGGGCGTTTTTGGTGGATGATTAGTAAATGGAAAATGCAAACCAATAGAGTATCGTTTTGTTTTTGCCACATAGGACGTCCCAGTGATCGGGAGGAGCGGGAAGAGCTTCAGCTACAACCAGGACGTGGTGTTGCTGCTTCTGACAGATGGAGTCCTGTTCCACCTTCAGAGCGTCACGGCCTACGCCCTCATGGGGAAGATCTCCCCTGTGACATTCAGGTGAGCAGAGGAACTTCCAGGAGCTGAGGGTGTCCAGGTTGTTTCGAGAGGAGACTAAAAATCTAGGTATTTTTATAAGAGACACATGTGATTCTCTTCCACGGGGATGACTGTGGCTGTGCACTGTAATTACTAGGCCATTTTATACCCATGCCGTTTGAAATGCTAATGATAGGCCGAGCCCAGTGGCTCACGCCTGTAATCCCAGCACTTGGGAGGACAAGGCAAGTGGATCATTTGAGGTCAGGAGTTCAGACTAGCCTGGTCAACATGGGGAAACCCTGTCTCTACTAAAAATACAAAAAAGTAGCCAGGTGTGGTGGTGCACCTGTAATCCCAGCTACTCGGGAGGCTGAGGCAGGAGAATCACTTGAACCCGGGAGCTGGAGGTTACAGTGAGCTGAGATCACGCCACTGCACCCCAGCCTGCATGATGAGAGCGAGACTCCATCTCAAAAAAAAACACAAAGAAATGATAAACCGTAAAATAAACTGTAAACTGTGTGAAATAGGTTTTTAGAGAAATCTCCACTAGAAGTCTTTGCATTTGACGGTTTTTGAAATTGAGTGCTTTTCTGTCTAGAATAGCAGCGTGCCTCGACTAGTCTTGTCTGCAGGAATGGAATAGTCTCTTCTGGGCTGTCCAGTGCAGCAGCCACTGGCCACATACAGCTTCTGAGCACTTGAAATGTGGAGAATGTAACAAGGACCAGATTCTGAATTCAAGCTGATTGTCTTCAGTTTGAACTTGAACAGACACCTGTGGTCACTGGTTCCTGTGCCCCACAGCACAGCTCTAGAAACGGGGGTGAGGCTCCTTCGGCGTCTTTCCACTTCTGTAACTGAACAGATTGAAGTTGCAATTTATTTATTTATTTATTTTATTTGCCCCAAAACGGAGTCTTGCTCTGTCGCCCAGAGCTTGAGTGCCGTGGTGTGATCTCGGCTCACTGCAACCTCTGCCTCTGGGTTCAAGCGATTCTTCTGCCTCAGCCTCCTGAGTAGCTGGGATTACAGGCCAACGCCACCACGCCCAGCTAGTTTTTGTATTTTTAGTAGAGACAGGGTTTCACCATGTTAGCCAGGCTGTTCTCAAACTCCTGACCTCAGGCAATCCGCCCGCCTTGGCCTCCGATAGTGCTGGGATTATAGGCATGAGCCACCACGCCCAGCCAAAGGTGCAATTTGAAGACGAAACTAGCCGGGAGGACTGGAGGTCGAGGTGGGCAGATCGCCTGAGCTCAGGAGTTCAAGACCACCCTGGGCAACGTGGTGAAACCCCATCTTTACTAAAACACAAAAAATTAGCCAGGCCTGGTGAAATGCACCTGTAGTCCCAGCTACTTGGGAGGCTGAGGCATCAGAATCACTTCAGCCCAGGAGGCGGGTGTCGGAGTGAACCGAGATCGCGCCACTGCACTCCAGCTTGGGCTACAGAGTCAGACTCCGTCTCAAAAAAAAAAAAAAAAAGACTGGAGACTTTTTGGTGGCAAATACAAAGGAACGAGGTTATGTCACCAGCAGGGGTAGAAGTCCCCGCGACTGGCAGCAGCAGCCGCCTCATAGTCCCTGTGACTGGCATCGGCAGCAGCCGCCTCACATCCTGTTGTGGGAGTCAGCGGCCCTTTTTTCTGAAACTTCTGATCTGTCTGTCACGAGGAGGCAGAATTGTCCCCAAACATGAAGTGAAAAGCAGATGTTGGGGCCGGCGGGGGTGGGGGACAGTCAGGTGTAGCTCTCCCTCTTCTCTGCTTTCCATCTGGTCCAAGTCAGTGCGGTAAATTCTCAAATACCCGTCGGAGCTGGTAGCCGTGCACAGAGCGTTCCACAGCTGAGAAACTGGAGCTTGCGCCTCCTCTCACCAGCAGGCCCCGCAGGCCCCACACCGAGCCATCTCATCCATGGCGCTGCCCTGCCCCACGCTTCCTGCATCCTGAGCAGGAGGTATCTCTGAGACAGGAAAAATGGCTGCACTTTCTGAGTTTTTCTGAAGTTCACGGTGGTCTCCTGGGCTTGGTCACTGTCTCTCACCAGCATGTTTCTTTCTGGGGTCAGGAATTATTTCCAAATGCTCCTGAAGCCTAGTGTTTTAGTGAACATTAGTGATTGTTAGCAGTGGTTTAAAAAAAATAATAAAACTTTTTTTTTTTTTTTTTGAGACAGAGTCTTGCTCTGTAACCCAGGCTGGAGTGTGGTGGTGCCGTCTCAGCTCACGACAACCTCTGCCTCCCTGACTCAAGTGATCTCCCGCCTCAGCCTCCTGAGTAGCTGGGACTGCAGGTGTCCACCACCACATGGGCTAATTTGTGTGTTTTTTTTTTAACCAGAGTCTCGCTTTGAGTGCAGTGACGCGATCTCGGCTCACTGCAGCCCTGCCTCCCAGGTTCAAACAATTCTCCTGCCTCAGCCTCCCGAGTAGCTGGGACCACAGGCGCCTGCCACCACACCTGGCTAATTTTTTTTGTATTTTTAGTAGAGACGGAGTTTCACCGTGTTAGCCAGGATGATCTCGATCTCCTGACCTTGTGATCCGCCTGCCTTGGCCTCCAAAAGTGCCGGGATTACATTCGTGAGCCACTGCGCCCGGCCTGCCCAATTATTTTTCAATAGTATTTTTTTGTTTTATTTTAATGTTGTAAGAGCAGTGAATTAAGTACTCATTATGGAAAATTTGCACAGGGTATTTCCCGACACCCTTTTTTTTGCACAGTCCTAACATTGTGTATTTAATATCCTTTTTCACCCAACAAATGATCTCAAGGGATTGTTTTCCCTGGGGCTGCAAAGGCACTGCGAGTGTGTGGGCGATGTTCTTATTCTTTTTTTTTTTTGAGACAGAGTCTTGCTCTGTCGCCCAGGCTGGAGTGCAGTGGGTGGCGTGATCTCAGCTCACTGCAGCCTCCTCCTCCCGGGTTCAAGCTATTCTCCTGCCTCAGCTTCCCGAGTAGCTAGGATTACAGGTTACTACCCAGCCCGCCACCACACCCAGCTAATTTTTTGTATTTTTAGTAGAGACGGGTTACACCGTGTTAGCCAGGATGGTCTCGATGTCCTGACCTCGTGATCCGCCCACCTCGGCATCCCAAAGTGCTGGGATTACCGCCCGGCCTCAATATCTGTAATTTACTTAAAAATATTCCATCCGGGCCGGGCGCGGTGGCTCAAGCCTGTAATCCCAGCACTTTGGGAGGCCGAGACGGGCGGATCACGAGGTCAGGAGATCGAGACCATCCTGGCTAACACGGTGAAACCCCGTCTCTACTAAAAAATACAAAAAAAAAAAATAGCCGGGCGAGGTGGCGGGCGCCTGTAGTCCCAGCTCAGGAGGCTGAGGCAGGAGAATGGCGAAAACCCGGGAGGCGGAGCTTGCAGTGAGCTGAGATCCAGCCACTGCACTCCAGCCTGGGCGGCAGAGCGAGACTCCGTCTCAAAAAAAAAAAAAAAAAAATATAATCCATCCGGGTGTGGTGGCTCAGGCCTGTGATCCCAGTGGTGTGGGAGGCCCAGGTGGGAAGATCACTTGAGCCCAGGATTTGAAGACCAGCCTGGGCTACACAGTGAGATCCACTTCAATTGGATGAAGCTGATGAGGCGATGTCATGAATTCCTGCGTCTAGTTCACAGGATGTGGCTGTTCCTTAGGTTTCTCCTCCTCTGCCTTTTTTAATAATGAAAAGTACCCCTTAAAAAAGAAGGGACGAGGGAGCAGGCAAGTCCCGCTTAAAGCTCCCAAACCCCTGGGCCAAGCTTACCACCACCCAGGTCCCATCGAGCACCCCCCGCCCCATCCTGGCCTCCAGACCCGGGGTCAGCCGAGCTGCTGGCTGCAGGCTTGATGTCACCGTGACCCTGCGTGCCCCCACCCCACCCCAGCCTCCAGACCCAGGCTCAGCCAAGGTGCTGGCCACGGGCCAAGGTGACCATGACCCCGAGCGCCCCTGCTCCCTCCCCTTGTCTGCAGCGTCGCCAGCACCGTGAAGCATGCCTTGTCCATCTGGCTCAGCGTCATCGTTTTTGGCAACAAGATCACCAGCTTGTCGGCGGTCGGCACAGCCCTAGTGACAGTTGGGGTCCTGCTCTACAACAAGGCCAGGCAGCACCAGCAGGAGGCGCTGCAGAGCCTGGCTGTGGCCACCGGCCGGGCCCCAGAGGACACGGTGGAGCCGCTGCTTCCACAGGACCCCAGGCAGCATCCCTGAGAGCAGGAAGCTGCCAGCTGCTGCTGTTCTCGTGACACTGCATCCCCCGGAAACGGACAGGAACGCCCTCCTTCATGGCCCTGCTGGGGTGCAGGACACGGGGAGCTAAGTCAGCCATGCCCTGAGGTTTTCTTGGTTTGCCAGTGAAGACCAGCGGAAGCTCAAACTGGGGATTCCAGGCATCAGCTTCCTGGAGTGGAGACCAGAGCCCCTGTCAGCTGAGCCCATGCCCGCGTCATGTGAAAACAGCCTCTGCAGCTCCCGTGCTGGGGGTGCCCACTTCCTCCCACTTCCTCTCTGGGCAGCACCCCAGGGTCCACCGGGAGCCAGGGCTGGGTCCAGTGCCAACGAGAGCTGCTCCCTGCTACAGCCAAGAGAGCGCTCAGCTTCCCACACCAGCCATCAAAGGCCCTGAGCCCTGGACTGGCTGCAGATTGGCCCTGGGCATGAGGCCACAGAACAGGGCCGACGGGCAGGGACAGAGAACCCTGGAAGGAAGGGTCTCCTGCTGCCACAGTGGGCAATCAGAACTTCTCCTCACCTGACCCACCAGGGTTGTGGGCATCCTCAGACTATCCCAGAGTCATTGCGAGCCTCAAGCTACAGCATTGCATGGGAATCAAGGGCTATGACCACGGAGGCCATTCCGTTGCTTCTGTGAAGAGGAAGGCCCCCGTACCCCTTCCACATCCTGGGCTGCGTGAGCCCCCGACTCCAGCGTGCCCTGCCCATCGCCTTCCACACCCTGGGCTGCGTGGGCCCCTGCCCCACTATCCCTTACCCACCCTGGGCTGCGTGAGTGCCCGCTCTGGGGCGTCCTGCCTGTCACTTCCACACCCTGGGCTGCATGAGCCCCCCCACCCCAGGGCGCCCTGCCCTCCTACCTGTGGTGGTTTCTTAGCCCTGAGGTTGAGGACAAACCTCTCATGTTTAATTTGGGAGGAGATGTGTACATTCCTTTTCTTTTTTGGACTCTGAGTATCAGGCAGGCTATTCTGAGGTCCCTGGGGGGTGAGCCTGTCTGTCCTCCCTTGGAGCCCAGTGTTCCTAATCTCATCATCCAGCACCTGTCCGGATCCCCGCATGAGCCTTGGGCAGGACGTTGCAGTGTTGATGGCTTGGGTTACATGGTGTTTACCTGGGCGCCATCCTTGCTGAAAAAGGAAGCACCCACACTGAACGTTCTGGGGCGCATGGTGTGTGTCAGGCGCCCACCCCGTCCCACTCTCCCCGAGGGACAGCAGTAGTGCACAGTGGGGCCAAGGGCCAGCTCAACCCCTCCTCCTCAGCATCACACATCCCCGAGGGTACAGGAGGCCTGAGGAGTGGTTGCTGGAGCTGTGTGTTAGGCAGAGGCTTCTGACCATGCCTGAGCCCTTCACCCCCCGTCTCGCAGCTGGCGAATTCCTATGCCTGGTGCAGTCTGTTGCCAGTGAGCCTTTGAGACCCAGAGCTCCAGGGCTTGTCAGAGGCAGCATGGGGCTCCAGTGGTCCCGAGTCTCATTTCCCTGCCTACTCCATCCCGAGTCTCATTTCCCTGCCTGCTCCATCCTGAGTCTCATTTCCCTGCCTATTCCATGCCAAGTCTCATGTCCCTGCCTGTTAAGCCCCGAGTCTCATTTCCCTGCCTGCTCCATCCTGAGTCTCATTTTCCCTACATGCTCTTTAGGCCATTGGCGCCTGAGGTCACTTCACTGGTTTTCCATTCGGCTTCTCACCTGGGAAATACAAAAATAGACCCTCCTGAAGATAAAATCGTTCAGAAACAGCAATAATTATGACTCATTAACTTCTACCTACTCAAAAAAGTCTTCCTTGATGGTGGACTGAAATGAGGCTTTTTAACCCACAGGCAACCTTTTTATTTTTTTGAGACTGTCTTGCTCGCTCTGTCACCCAGGCTGGAGTACAGTGGCATGATCTTGACTCACTGCAGCCTCGACTTCCTGGGCTCAAGTGATCCATCTCAGCCTCCTGTGTCGCTCTAACCACAGGCACGTGCCACCATGCCTGGCTATTTTTTTGTTGAGCTGGGCTCTCACTTTGTTGCCCAGGCTGGTCTTGAACTCCTCAGCTGAAGCAGTCCTTCCCACTCAGCCTCCCGTAGTGTTGGGAATACAGGCGTGCACCACTGCACCTGCTCCAGCCACTTGTATAAAACCACTGACCTGTGTGTGGAGGACAGGCCAGGTGTGTGCTCACTGCACTGCGAAGATGGGTCATCACGTGACTTTCACCAGTTTTCCATTTCTCTTTTTCTGCTTTCCTCAAAAACCAATACAAGACTGGGTGCGGTGGCTCACACCTGTAATCCCAGCACTTTGGGACGCTGCAGCTGGCGGATCACAAGGTCAGGGGTTTGAGACCAGCCTGGCCAACATGATGAAACCTCGTCTCCACTAAAAATACAAAAATTAGCTGGGTGTGATGGTGGGTGCCTGTAATCCCAGCTACTCAGGAGGCTGAGGGAGGAGAATTGTTTGAACCCTGGAGGTGGAGGTTGCGGTGAGCCGAGATCGTGCCATTGCACTCCAGCCTGGGCAACGGCAAGACTGTCTCAAAAACACTTAGAAAATGCCCTGGAGGTGGCAGAGGGTTGTAGATATGTGAGGCCAACCCCCAGGGTGGCCCTGTCCGCCTCCCCATTGAGAATGGCTGCCAGGCTTCCCACTAACCTCTGAAGATGACGGTCTGGTGTAAGAAGAGGTGCAGGTGCCTGATTCTGAGCACCTTGGACTTTCTCGCCGCACATCCTCTGGTGCCCTCTCTTCCACCCTGACAAGGAGCTTCCAGCCTCTTTTGATTTTCTGTTTGTGGACCAGAAACACGTTTTTCCAAATGATGAGCAAATAGGGTGATTTCCTTTGTAATGCTGCTCTGGGGCCTCTTCCTCATCCTGGCAGAAGCAGCCTGGATACCATGCAGCAGCCGACACTGTGCACTTGCTCAGGCTTGCTGTCCCCTCCCTCTCCCTCAGTCTCCTCTCCATGCCCAAGTTGGTTTCCAGCCGCTGGTCTTCACGGCATTCCCAGTACAGCCAGGCACCAAGAGGCAATACCCAAGGCCTGGCTTGGCCATGTTAACGATTGTACAGATATATATTTTTAAATAACTTTTATGTAATACTTTTCTAGAATAGTAAGTTCTTGTTAACTGTCACAGATGTCCTAGAAACACCAGGTGTTACTTCCACTGAGTGTGTCCATGGTCGTGGTCTGTGCCTTTGTAAACAGAACACTTGAACCACCTCCCGAATTGGGTCATCTGCTTCCTGAAATTGACACTTAAGAGATGTGCATCTCTCTAACTTTCAAGGAAACTTCCCCACTAAATAGCATGAAAAGGTTTAAATAAAATCTGAGAGTCCCAATTCCCTCTATAACAGTGTTAAAATAATCTGTCTGCCTGGAAAGACGAAAACACTCTTGCACAACCCAAAATGTGTCTTTAATTTCTGAAAAATTAACATGGTGAGTCAAACAGTCATTTTAAAGAGCTGAGCAAAGAATATCATCAGCCAAATAGAGCTCTGCTTTGTAGGGTGCCTTTAAACTCCTTGCCACAAAACCAGTGAGCTCTGCTTGCTGCTGCCGCGCTCCTGGATGATCACTTAGATGGGTCAGTGGGAATAATGGGCGAACAAGACAGTTCTTTACATCTGTCCAAATGGTGTCCTTTCTCAGGCCTGGAAGTATTTCATTGCTGGAAGAAGGAAACAAGAATGTCATTGCAGATAGGAACAGACTTCTCTCGTTTACCTTTGACCAACATGGTACTGAGGGGTTTATTTTTTTTTTATTATTTATTTATTTTTTTTTTTTTTGAGACGGAGTCTTGCTGTGTCACCCAGGCTGGAGTGCAGTGGCCCGATCTCGGCTCACTGTAAGCTCCGCCTCCCGGGTTTACGCCATTCTCCTGCCTCAGCCTCCGAGTAGCTGGGACTACAGGCGCCCGCCACTGCGCCCGGCTAGTTTTTTGTATTTTTTAGTAGAGACGGGGTTTCACCATGTTAGCCAGGATGGTCTCGATCTCCTGACCTCGTGATCCACCCGCTTCGGCCTCCCAAAGTGCTGGGATTACAGGCTTGAGCCACCGTGCCCGGCCCTGAGGGGTTTATTGTTTCCCAGCGCACGTGCGTGCCCTACTGGGGGCCTCACTTTATAGAACGAGAGTGTCCGAGCTCCCCTAATGAATCTGACTAGGTCTCTCCTGGCTGAGGATACAGGAGTGGGACATCCACCCTCAGATCCCTCAGAGCACAGAAACCTTCAGCTTGGCTGTCTCAAGTATTTCTTCCAGTTTCCCTGTGGGCGTCTGATGTTTGAGTTTGATGGCTGCTAGATCCTCAACGAAAACTCAGTTGGAAACTTCCAACTCGCAGTCCTAGTTTGTTTGTTGTTTTCCATTTCATTTCACTTACAGCTGAAAGTGACATTCAGCTGACTTGCTCATTTAAACTGTTCACAGAGTCTGAACTGCCAACGTGGCCATTGGAGGCTCCATCTTTTAAGAGGGCCACAGACTTTCCCACATGGGAAAACTTGAAAATTACATCAACAATTGACGTCAGAGCCAAATTATATTTCCTTTATACCAAACTGTGGAGAACTAAAAGTACATTGTACAAAATGTTTCTAGTGTTTTGTATGTGACCTATTTCAATATTTATATTACTAGATCAGTGCTTTCCAGCAAATGATTCTGTTAAATAATGTAGCCAGTCGCTGTTAATTCTGCAGCAGTGATAAGCTGATACTGTGCAACTAATCCTGTGGACGCTTCCTGCTTATTTTTGTCTAAACTAAGTTAATCATGATAGCAGCTATGATTCTTGCTCAGCAAAGTAAAATAAATGTTAAATATGGACTGCTTTGTTTTCTTGCTTGTGTAGCTCTGGTGTTCATGCTGCTGAAATGATCAAGGTTGGCATCTTAGTGCCTACACCAGTTTCTAGCAACCTAAAATGAGCAAGAGAAACCAATTCTCCAAAACAAGAGGCTGTTTGCAAACAGCCAAGGATTGCAATCCAGGGTCCGTCCATAGGCTCATCTGAGAGGCTGGGGCAAGGGCGAGCTGCTGCAGGTGGAAAGAAGTCCATGTAAGCTGTTCTGACACAACAGGAGCTTGTTGCGGTGGTGGCCTTTGTTCACCGAGGGAGCTGGCTGTTGCTAGCAGAGGGTCTTCACAGAAGTGGCTTAACCCCAAGTTCTAGTTGGGAAAGGCCTTTGTGGCAGCTCCTACTACAAACAAGTGCGAGGCCGCTTCCTCCTCGTTGCCTCCGGGGTCATTTTTATTAGGGTTTGACGTAAGTGGCAGCATTTGGGTACTCGCTGATTTCATGAAGGGCAAAATGGAGATTTTTGGCCAGGTGTGGTGGCTCATGCCTATGATTCCAGCACTTTGGGAGGCTGGTGGGTAGATCACTTTAGGTCAGGAGTTTAAGACCAGCCTGGCCAACATGGCAAAACCCTGTCACTACTAAAAATACAAAAGTCAGCCAGGTGTGGTGGTGCATACCTGTAATCCCAGCTAGTCAGGAGGCTGAGGCAGGAGAATCACTTGAACCCGGGAGGCGGAGGCTGCAGTTACCCAAAATTGTGCCACTGCACTCCAGCCTGGGTGACAGAGCAAGACTTCTCAAAAAAAAAAAAAAAAAAAAGCCAGGTGCAGTAGCTCACGCCTGTAATCCCAGCATTTTGGGAGGCCAAGGCAGGCGGTTGACGAGGTCACGAGACTGAGACCATCCTGGCTAACACGGTGAAACCCCGTCTCAACTAAAAATACCAAAAATTAGCCGGGCGTGGTGGAAGGCGCCTGTAGTCCCAGCTACTCGGGAGTCTAAGGCGGGAGAATGGGGTGAACCCAGGAGGCAGAGCTTGCAGTGAGCCGAGATCGCGCAACCGCTCTCCAGCCTGGGCAACAGAGCGAGACTCCGTCTCAAAAAAAACACCTTGGGTACCCAAAGCAAGCAGCATTTCATTCTGGAATGAAAAAAATTCCAATACCCATCGCCCTTTTTGTGCCCTTGTCAATTTCTTGTTACATTTTACAGTTTCCCATTTCAGGCCCAGTAAATGCGGATGTTTACTGTCTCTTTCTTGAGATTCAGATGTCTAAAGCATTTTTCTGTGACTTTTCAAGTCAAGAGGATAACCTAACATACGGAAAGGGAATTAATTACTCGTTTTATCCTCTTCTGGAATGTTCGGAATCCATGGGTTTGGGGTGGGGTCTTGGGAGTTGGGGAAGCACCATACCCAGTGAGGTTGCACAAGCACTTTGAGGACCCACTGCCAGTGTCAGCTTTAAAATCACACTGTAAAAGCCGGGGTGCGATGGCTCACGCCTGTAATCCCAGTACTTTAGGAGGCCGAGGCAGGCAGATTACTTGAGGTCAGGAGTTCGAGACCAGCTTGGCCAAGGTGGCAAAATCCCGTCTCTACCAAAAATAGAAAAATCAGCCGGGCGTGGTGGCGGGCGCCTGTGGTTCCAGCTACTCGGGAGAATCTCTTGAAGCCGGGAGGAGGCTGCAGTGAGCCGAGTCTACGCCACTGCACCCCAGCCTGCGTGGCAGAGCGAGACTTCGACTCACAAGTAAATACATAAATAAATAAAATCACATCGTAAGAGCTCTCCCTGCCCTGTTTTTGGGTAAGGTTCAGAGTTAAACTCCGAGATGGGCCTTTACAAGACGCACAGACCTGAGGCGCCTCAGGAGGTAACTCGCAGGTAAATGGAGCGCGCTCCACCCACCCGCCACTAGGGGTCCCAGCGGTCAAGGGGATGGAACGCGGGCGTCCAACGCGAACGCACTCCGATCGCAAGCCTTGCCACAGGCGCTGGCTTCGCTACCGGGAAAGTCCCGGTCGGATTCCGGAAGCCGGCCACGCGTTCCGCGCAGGCGCAAACTGCTCCCAAAGTAGGAGTCGCTCCGCTCGGCGCCCCGATGCTTGCATCATCAGCCCGCGCCGAAGTTGGTAGTGCAGCTCACGGCGCTGTTTCTTCCGGAGTCCTGGATCTGAGCAAGCGCTGTCTTATGCGTCATCATCCCGCGCAGGCACAGGAAGTGCCACACAGAGGGAACCCCTGTCGTTGTCTCGAATTTTGGGCCGGAGGCCGGCTATTGTGTCATGATTACGCGCCAACACAGGAAGTGACGATACTCCTGGCGCGCGCCGGTAGCTGTTTCTTCTCTGGCTCCGGGACCGGCGGCAGCGGCGGCGGCGTAGGGGTGAGTTCCGATTGGGCGGACCAGGTGTGGGAGCGCGGCGAGAACTGCGCACCGAGGTCTTTCTTCCGAACAGGCCTCGGAGCGGGGCGGACCTGGGTCCGGGGGCGAGCGATACCCTGGCTTCGGCGGACAGTCTCATCCCGCACCCAACTTCGGGTGGTAGAGGCGGCGGGCCCAAACGCGCTCTGGAGCCAACGTCTGCCAGGCTGAACCTCAAGTGTGCGTGACTGCACCCAAGGAGATAGCCCACTGCCCGGGTCAGGTGGCCTTGTTCGCGAGCACATCTGGGAGCGTCTCCCCGGTCTCAAGGTGCAGCTGTCCAGTGTGCTAGTAGCTTCACGTAGTCCATGTGGTCCTTCTAGCAGATTCTGACAGTAAAAGCAGTGTTTGATGAGTGGCAGGTCATGAGTTAAGAGCCTTTAAACGGACGATCTTTAATCCGCGATCGATACTGTCACGTAGGTCGTGTTATTCTGGTTGTACAGAAGACTAAACTGAGGTGAATTACATTACCTAAGACCATACAAGAATGACAGAAACGAGATTTGATTTCAAGCGGTCATTTTTCAGAACTCATCACTCTTTTTTGTCGCCCATGCTACAGTGCAGTGACTGTTCACAAGCGCACTTCAGCCTGAACTCCTGGGCTCAATCGGTCCTCCTATCTCAAGCTTGCAGAGTACCTAGAACTACAGGCCCTCGGGCGCTCGCCACCTTGCCCCTGGCTTACAACTTATCTTTCTTTTTTTCTTCCGTTTTTTTTTTTTTTTTTTTTTAAGACAGGGTCGTGTGCAGTGACGGGGCCTTGGCTCACTGGAACCTCCGCCTTTCGGATTCAAGCGATTCTTCTGCCTCAGCCTCCTGAGTAGCTGGGATTACAGGCACCTGCCACCACGCCCAGCTAAGTTTTGTATTTTTAGTAGAGACAGGGGTTTCGCCGTGTTGGCCAGGCTGGTCTTGAACTCCTGACTTTGTGATCCACCTGCCTCAGCCTACAACTTTTTTTTTTTTTTTAACCAAGTCTTACTTTGTCATCCAGGCTGGAGTGCAGTGGCGCAGTCTTGGCTCACCGCAGCCTTGACCTCTCTGATTCGAGTGATCCTCCTGCTTCTGCTCCCTAAGTAACAGAATACAGGCACGCGCCACCACACTCGACTAATTTTTGTGTTTTCTGTAGAGACGAGGTTTTGCCATGTTGCCCAGGCTGGTCTTGAACTCCTGAGCTCAAGTGATCCATCCGCCTTGGCCTCCCAAAGTGCTAGGGTTACTGTCTTGAGCCACTGCGCCGGGCCACAACTTCTTATTCTTAATGAGGATTTATTCTGAATGCCCAAAAGTGACTAGGTTCAAGTGTTCAGAAAGAACAGAGTGCCGTGGCTTGCTGTGTCCTGTGGTAGGCTGAATTATTTTTCTTTTTGCAGTGTTTTAACTCAAATGGGTGATGAAAAGGACTCTTGGAAAGTGAAAACTTTAGATGAAATTCTTCAGGAAAAGAAACGAAGGAAGGAACAAGAGGAGAAAGCAGAGATAAAACGCTTAAAAAATGTAAGCCATATTTTTTAAGTAAGTGGTTTTCTTAAAGGAGATTTAATTTCTTTGCCCTCATTTTTCCATTAGAACAACGCTTCTTCGGTGAAGTTCTTTTGTACTTCCAAATGTCACAGGTGAGCCCAAAATCTATTACAAAAATTAACAAAAACATTTAAATATTCAGTTGACGTTAAAGGCGGATTTAACACACTAAAGCTGTATCTAGATTGAGCATACATGGAGAATAAAATATTTTGAATATTAAGTCATTAGCAAAACTGGACTAATTTTTCTCATTTCATCATTAGTACATTCATAATACTCTCTAAGTATTTTTAATATAGTGGGAACTTGCCTTGAAATTAATATAAATATTTTACATCTTTCTTGGTTTGCATAGTAATGTACTCGGTAAACCTTTTCAGGAATTTGGTAAGAGGCATTGGCAAAGTACCTCTTTTGCTAAGATTTGTAGCATCATTTGAGATGTTTGTGACTACAGGCATACCTTGTTGTATTAGACTTCATTTTATCATGCTTCACAGATTTTGTAATTTTTCCAAGTTAAAGGTGTGTAGCAAACTCTGCATTGCGCGTTTTTGCAATAGCATGTGCTCACCCTAATGTTAGAGTTTTTTAATTTTTTTTTTTTTTTTTTTGGAGACGAAGTCTCCTCTGTCACCCAGGCTGGAGTGCAGTGGCGCAATCTCGGCCCACTGCAAGCTCTGCCTCCCGGGTTCACGCCATTCTCCTGCCTCAGCCTCCTGAGTAGTCGGGACTACAGACACCCGCCAAATTTTTTGTATTTTTAGTAGATACGGGGTTTCTCTGTGGTCTCAATCTCCTGACCTTGTGATCCGCCTGCCTCGGCCTCCCAAAGTGCTGGGATTACAGGCATGAGCCACCATGCCCAGCCGAGTTTATTTATTTATTTATTTATTTATTTTGAGATGGAGTCTCTCGCTGTGTTGCCCAGGCTGGAGTGCAGTGGCGCGATCTCAGCTCACTGCAAGCTCTGCCTCCTGGGTTCATGCCATTCTCCTGCCTCAACCTCTTGAGTAGCTGGGACTACAGGCGCCCACCAATATATCCAGCTGATTTTTTG